AAAAATTATCTGAAAAATTCTTTGTACCAGCCCAACCCAACCTTCAATCCTAGCTACGCCCCTGCTTACATGCATTGAATACAGTTCATAATGAGAAATTATAATATCAACTTTTTACTTTTCTAAGAAATGGCTAAAAAGTCATATACGGTGTAATTTTGCACTTGTTCAAACTCAAATGAGGATTGATGCAATTATTCAAGAATGATTATATATTATGCCAAATTGTACATATATTCCCACAATCTATTGTAGTGGGCTTTGTCAATTATATTTGCATTTTAGATTATCCTAAAAAGGTATATATATTTGTCATTGATGAGAAAAAGAAAGTTGAAATTATACGTCATCATTTATAAATACGTGTTTATATGTTCATATGATAAAACGGGGTTTCTTAATCATCATTTGTCACATGTGTATGTGTTGTATACATAAAATAATCTCCAAGTAAGGATGTTTTTTTTTACTGAAATTTGCTGACCTGGTCTGGTATGGTCTCTGTGTATTTTATAACTACGGAAGTCAAGTCTGGTCTGATTTGGTCCGGTCTGGTCTGTGACTGAAAACAGTCCAAAAGAAAACATCCTAAACCTTTCATGTTGTAAAAGAAACCAGGTAGATCCAAATGTGATAGAAATAACATTTCAATTAAGTTTTGGAGTGATCCAAAAGGCAAAGTGTATACAACACACATACACACGAGGGACGATTATTATGTTATAATTCCTTAATTAGTTTGTTATATAGTTCACATTTGGTATATTAAAGATCCATGTTTGGATCCTGTCGAAGTGGAGGGAGTTTTGGCAGCACACGCAAGTGTGAGGCTATCTTTGAAGTGGAGGATCGGACTACATTTTGTGCACAAGTTAATTAATAATCTAGCTTTTAAGTCCAACGCGGCTTAGGCATCATGATTTAATCTCCACATACTCTTTCAATTCAGGAGTATAACGTGTAAAGAAGTTGGGGATAAATAAATCCACCTTTTTTGTACAAAGCAACATATATAGTTATAATGAAATAAAATATTTTATTCAAAATAATAAAATATTTTGAACGCATGCATTTCAACATATTCATCCAATTTAAACATTTCTGCTAATATTTCACCAATTTTCAGCGGATGCTGTCAATTCGGTGTTATCAGGCCGACTCAAAATATATCTAGAACATATCGTACTTTTTGTAAAATAAAATCATGTCAAATCTGCCTTTAGGAGCTGGTTAGTATGCATGGATACCACATAAAGAGAAGAATAAACGTCAAATTTTGTATCGCTATAAACATGATATATATTATTATGGACATTTTTCTTCTCAAGATAAAACATGATATCTTGCACGGCTATTAATATACTACATATGAAAGAAACATGTTGTTCTCCTTTTTATTTCAATAGTTTCAACTTTCGTTCTTACTTCTTTAATACTGGAGTCTGAATTTTACATTCACCTTTGCGATCAGCCATTCATGCTAGCCACCCATGTTTTGAAAGAGGGGCCCGACATATTGGTGATCTGACATCTAAATTTTTGATATCCAATTATACCCCGGAGTATTATTCTACAATTACAATTATAAACATTAATACGGAGTACTATTTGATGATATAATTCTACATTCATTTTTGGCTAAAGGGTAAAAAAAATGGTTCAAATTTCATTTTTTACGGGTAAATCACCGGTCATTTTTTAAATTTTTTTTATTGTTCCTGTTTTTTTTCGATTTATTGCAATGTCGACACTTTTTAATAGTTTAGGAGTGCGAATTGGACCTTTTTACGGTTCGGGGTGGGAATTGGATCTTTTTTAGTTCGAGAACTGAATTGAGCTTACACGATCGGTACAAGGGTCTATTTAAGCCTTTAGCCTTCACTTTTTTCAAAACAAACCATGTTTGGAAACGTTCTACCTTTTAAGGACAACTTCTCAGGTAGCTGATTGTTATTTCGCATCAACTTGTTTTTTTCTTCTTTGCCGTTCTCATACTATTTTATCCTACAAATAACATTTTTTTTTGTTACATTCAAGCCAAATTCATTATTCTCAAATCACTTTTCAACAAACTTTACTTCAAGAAAAGCTTATTTTGATTCTCAAAATCGATTATACATATAACCAATCATGTACAAAGCCTATCAATGGGCCGGGTCCAGGTCGGAACATAGGATGTTTTCTTTTGGACTGAAATTTGCTGGTCTGGTCTGGTCTGTTTAAGTTTGGTCTGGTCTGGTCTGGTCTGTTTAAGTCTGGTCTGGTCTGGTCTGAACTGGTCTGGTCTGGTCTGGTAAACGTCTGGTCTCTGTGTATTTTATAACTACGGAAGTCTGGTCTGGTCTGGTCTGGTCTGTTTAAGTCTGGTCTGGTCTGGTCTGGTCTGTTTAAGTCTGGTCTGGTCTGTTTAAGTCTGGTCTGGTCTGGTCTGGGACTGAAAACAGTCCAAAAGAAAACATCCATAGTGTTCCAGACCCGGACCCGCTAAGTTAATAATGGATCCGGACCCGATCCGTTTACCCGGCGGGTCTGAAAATTTGGACCCAGACCCAACGAGTTTCGGAACCGGGTCGGGTAGACCCGCCAATATAATATGTGCACCATGATAAAATTTGTGAAGATAACAAGAGCTATATATGTAATGTTAATCAAAGTGTGCAAACTTCAAAGAAAAATATATACTATGTACTTACTTTTCAAAAAAGAAATAATTAAGATTGTTTACAAAAATAAAGATTGTTTACAAAAATGTGATTAGTGACTAGAGTAGTAATAAAAATCATAGTAATTTGTATTCAATTTTTAAACTTAAGTTACAATGACATTACATTGTATGTATTAACTAATAGTCATATTTGTGTAAATAAATTTTGTTTTAGTAATATTTTTTGAAAAAAAAACCCTTCAAAAAAAATCAAAGTTTCTCATAGAAAATTAGTACTTTTATACAATAAAGTATCGGTTCTTGTAGAGGCGTATAACTCCACACTCTGTGTCGTTTTCTCCCACACAAAAAAACTTGTAAAAAAACTAGAAATTAAGTCACAAAAAGGTTTCTCGAATTACTATGAGTATAAAAGCATATTATATATGATAATTATATAATAATATTAATAATAATAAGTATTGTGTTTTGCCTACCGAGCCCAATACACACCTTATCATTATGTACTTATAGCCACAATGGGTATTAGTTTTAGGGTATGTCACTATCTCGATCAGTATCACTTACACAATATATATAGGGTGCGGTTCCAATGAGAACGATGCTTAACGTGAGAACGTGAGAACACTCACAATTAACACGTACAATGTGATACACAATAGAGCCCGTTTGGTGCACATTTTGACTTTGCTCAAAACAAGCCAATATAAATAATCACGGTGACATTTTGGTAAATATAATGCCGAACACGAAAATGTGCATTGGGCGAGCCTCATTTTGCATCACATTGGGGTAAATGTGGTGTTCTCACGTTCTCACGTTAAGCATCGTTCTCATTTGATCCTAAATCTGTGTGTGTGTTTATATGTATGTATTAGTGTGTTTTTTTTTAATTGAAGAATTACACCTAATAAGTTTATGTATTATTATGTATATATGTGCGTGTATTAATTAGTTTGTATTTTTTTATTTGAAGTCTTATAACTAATCACTTTAAGTATTAGTATGTGTATAAAAACAAGAAAATTAAAACGGGTCCGGGTCCTTAATGAGTCAGAATCAAATGTACCATACCCGACCCGTTTATTAAATATACTAACGCGTTCGGATCCGGGTCCGGGTAAACGAAATAAAATATAGACTCGTACTCATTAAAAACAATCGGGTTCGGGTTGGATCTGGGTCAAATGATCAATTATTGTAATGTTTTAATCTTAGCCGCTATATTTATTATTTCATAAGGCTTTGGTTTTATACGTAGTATATGCTAGCTACTACGTACAATCATTTGAGATCGATGAAGCTATGAGTAAATATTTCAGAAATCGAATGACAAAACTCATTCATTCATTCGCCAATTCATACTAATTTCCTAGTAATTACCCTTATAACCTTATTTTCAGACTTATTGCCCTTTCGATCATCTTTTCTGCTAAACATAATTTTTGGTTTCGTGTGCTAAGTTGTGTAATAATAAAAAATGATAGTATTTGCAAATACTTAAAAATGTGTTTTTCAGATTTTAGTTTAAAAAAGATTAAATTGGCTTTTTCAACTTTTCAAGTGATAGCATTTTGAAATTAAACACTTTAACGCTAAAAGCTTGAAAGTTAAAAGAATTTGTTGAAAGAGTGCTTTACACAGTTTTTCGCTCTTTCTATTACATGAAAGATACTCTGTACTTTTTTTTTTTTACCAAAAACTATCAATTTTTATTTTTTCAAAATCAATTTTTTTCAAATATTACAAACTTTTACTATTGAGCAGTTCTATAAGATGTATTTAAGAGTCATTTTTTAAGTAGAACCAATCGTAAAAGTTCTTTTAAGTAAGACTTTTTTTGGGGTTGAGTTGAATGAAATTGACGTGGACTATTGCCGGCTATGTTTGGCAAACAAAAGTATGTGTCTTCTAGTTGTATGTTTGGCATGACAATATTTAAGAGTTTTTCAAAAAATAAAAGATCTTTTTTGAGATGCTACATGGAGTACCATCTGAGAAAAGTCTGTGACTTTTAGCATTAATTAATCCAACAGCTTGTATATCAAACATAATTAAATCAAACAGTCAGCTTTTTACCAAACAGCTACTACCTTTTCTTTTTAAGATCTTTTCAGTCACTAAAAACTAACAGTTACTAAAAAACTCATAAAAGTATCTTTTCAGCTAGTTGTGCCAAACATAGTCATTATAATTTTTTTCATAAGTTTGTTTATTTTTTTTAGTTAAACATTTTTAATAAATCTTGTACAAAAGTAAGCATATTCAGCCAATCTCTACAATTATATAAGCATGAATATTGTTAGGGGTATAACAGCCCTCAGAAAAATGTTCGTGTCTTCTTCTGCTTCGCTCGATTGTACCGGATGCATAATCGGTTATTAATCAAAGCTGTTGTCGCAGGGTAAAGGGTCAGGGCCCTACATCCGTTAAACCCACGTTATGTCTTCCGCATCTCTTAGATCTCGCAGGCTCTAGGTTAATTATTACGAAGTAATTAATCCTTCTTTTCCTCTCTCGTTGCACAACTCTCGCTCTCCTGAGTTTCCGTTCAACAAGGGCCGGAAAGCAGTCATGTTTCTCAAACGGTTAAACATCTCGCACCTTCTATTGAGCATATTTTGAAATTCTTGGCATCATTTTATAAGTTCTTTCTTCTCTTCTAATGAATTATATATTTCCTTGATATTTAAGTTCAGTTCATTGCTAAATTGGCATAGTTTATTTTCCTTGATCGTCTTACTTTGTTTCTGAATTGTTGGCTGGATTTTAATAGCCCCATGTTTATATTCCAGATTCTTCATATTCTTGTACGATTTGAATTCTTGGTTGCAATTTTTCTTCACATTCTTTTGTTTATATTCTTTGTTTATTTGTTTGTACCCTCTTCTTCTGTTTTGCTTGCAATGTGTTTGCTCAAATGTCCATGTGAAGTGTTCTAGGTGCAGTTGGAGGCTGTTTTTAATTTCATTTTCCCCCTCCTTTTGGTTTGCTAACTATGTGGTTGCTAGCATATAAAAGTCTTCAGACATCATATGTTAATTTTAGCGTTTAAGAACTTGTGAGGGATTCCATTTCAGCCTTGAGATGGCTACCAATATACTTATTAGCAAGAAATGATGCAGATTAGTAATAACACCGCATATTGCTTACCTAATAAACCCTGTTTGCTTGCTGTATTTTAATGAAGTGAGTTTGGAATGAGGACTTGCATGTATAAATGTAATCTCTTTTTACTTTAAGGGCTTAATCATTTCTATATTCTTCAGAGGTTGTTGAAAGCTTGAAACTTGCTCGTGGTACTAGCACCGGCATGCTTATTATTTCTGTTGTGGTTAGGCTCAAGAGAGGTTAGGGGAATATTTTTTAACTTGACATTTTTATGTGAATCAAAAGCAACAACTTATTGTATACACAGTTTTTAGAAGTTTTACGTATATAAAAAACTAAAATGAGATGCAACCTCCCATCAATGAATGTACTTTTACAAGCACACCCTACCTGTTGCTATTTCTTTGGCATTCTCAGTGAAGGAAAGAATTAAGATTTGGGTGGTTGTAAATTTTGTTAGGACAGTGCTCCTATTACTATATCTGTGTTATATATTGTTGGTTATAAGCAGATCTATATGTGAACATTTTGGACCTTAACATTATATTTACTTTCAGAAACATGGTTTTTGATACTCGGTCAAGAAGCAAATTGGGGAGTGACGATGATAATGATACTTTAAAGAATAGTGGCTGATGGAGAAGGAACATTCTCAGGCACTAAAAAGACGGGTTGTTCAGGTTTAAGGAGGGTAGCTCAGGTAACCTCATCAAAAGATACAAACAAAACACATCACCTACCATGAAGCCTGAGCGGATTCAAAAGAAGACTTAATATGCAATTTAACCTTAGTTGAAGCAACAATTAGCCATGGGGCTGCTGCTAACCTTGGTAAAGTTAGAAAGGTATCAAAATCAAATAACCCTCGTTACTTAAGTAGTTGTTTGCATGGAGAGTCACACTAGGATGGGGAACCAAATGCAAAGAAAGGCTGAATTACATTTGAAAAAGAGGGTACTAGACATAGTGTCATGTTTTTGTTTCAGTTTTTTATTAACAAGCAGTTAGGTTAGACGTTAAAGAGTTAGAAAGCATGTGGACCATGTTTAAGTTTGAAAAATGCATATCTCTTGTCGGCTTGTGCACGACTTCTTGTGAATTTGAATGCCCTAAGGTGTTTTATGAGTACCATTTGTCTTTTCTATAAATCTCAAAGGAATATAGTGATTATATTATTAGTTATTTGTGTTTAACAGTAAAATTACAACCAAATAAACTTGGATAGGTTCTCTAGGCAGTACATTACAGTTGCAGACCTTGATAGACAATTATGCTTTTATGATAGAGGTTAACATTTGAAATTTTGAACTGATATTTGTACATCTTCTTCTTTAGAGTAAGAATGAACCATATGGAACCTATTACCAGTTTGAAAGAATATGATACTTCACTTCAAAACCAACAACATCGTAATAGTGCAGTTTATTAGTAATAAATATTGATCACAATCAGGATTAGGTTCAAATTTCTCCACTGCATTAAAGCAGTACTTCTACTTTCATTGTGGCTTATTTTAAATATTTGCTTCAATTAGATTACCAGGTTAATGTTTGTCTGCTTTATCAGCAAGGTTAGATAAGAGTTTAAAAGAATTAAGGGCAATTTCATAAAAGAGGTGTATGAAATATAGATATTATTCATACTTATGACACTTGTAATACAGGTTAGTGCTTGTTTATTAATTACAAAATGGGTAAAATACTAGCCTGGGGATCTGATATAAAACTATACCATTAAATATTCATGGTAAAAGGGAAACTGATAAAACATTGAACGAAATACAAACATAACTTAAAGGAAACTTACAGAAAAAAAATACTTCAGAATGTTAATGTACGTTCATTGGAGAAAAGAAGGCATGACATTTTAGATTCCTTAAGCAAATTTAGTATTATGAGCTTTATGGTTCCTAGGAAGCTCTGAAAGAGGAATACATCATACTACGTACTACCCTCCGTTCGGTTTTAAATGCAACCTTGCATATTGACACAAGATTTAAGGAAACTACGCGGAGAACTTTTGTTCCGAATTCACCCTTGCTTCTTTAAAGCACACTGACAAGATTTATCTCTTTCCCTTTCCCATATATATCTTTTCTCCTCTCGCTTACCTTCTTCTCTTAAAGACCTATTTTAAAATTTTAATTTCAGCAATCTCCCCATTTGCTTAACATCATTAGAATTTAGGATGTTTAGTTTTAATTTCCTGAAGCAAACTTCAGCCTATTATAATAATTCATCAAAGGTGGAAGCTCCTTCTAAACTTGAGTTTCTTAATTTGTTTGCCGTTTCAGTTCATCGCCTTTTATAAAATTTTGACTTGGTTTCAAAATTTGTGAGAAGAAAATAACAGAGATGGCCATTGCAAATCTGGATTTCTGCATAGAGCCCCAAATTAAATAAAGCAACCCAAAATTGAAAGAAGAAGAAAGCGGATGAAAGAATTAAAAAGCACGGGCAGAAGAGAAAGGAGATGCGTGAGAAGAAAGATTAGGGAGTGGAAAATGGGGGAATGACACGAAAGGATTGGGGCTGGGGTAATTTGGGTGGAGAGGGCGATGACATGTGAGGTTGATAATGATGGGGCATACGGAGTACTATCTAAATGAATTCAAGGGTAATGTGGTCATTGTAGTTATTTTTATTACTAAAAGAGGAAGTGTTGCATTTAATTGGAAACTTCCAAAAAAGGAAAGTGTTGCATTTAAAAAAGAATGGAGGAAGTATATTATAGGACTAACCTGCTATATACAAAAAGTAACAGGCAAACAATTGGTACTTGACGTCCGAAAGGTAAGAGTGACAGAAGTCTTTTTGAATTTGCTATATTCTCGGCTTCTCTCTGAAATGTGCAAACGAAATATTTTTGGTAGCTAACTGCTTGTTAATATTGTTCAAGGGTGTTGTTTGTTTTGTTTTATCCCCTCCTTTTGCTTTGATATCTATGTGCATACGAAAAGTCCGTAAATAAGAGAGAGAAAGAGATTTAGAAACTCTGAGCCTTTCACATGTCGGGGGCAAGGCATTCGGGCAGTGCCCCAACGAGCGGTCGCTCTTTGAGTCGCGGCAGCCGGTAGCCGACTTGGGATTTGCAGTCTTGGCGCACAGTTGGCGTCTTGCTGATTTTGGACCTAAATCATTTGTTTCTACCCTTTGAGAGTTGTATGGCTTCATTATTATCTTTTTGAAAAGAACTAAAGTTGGTGAAATAAACCTCTATATTGCATCTGAATGGACAATGGACATTTGATGAATGTGAGAAACAAATGTGCAAGGGATGCAGTTGCTCACTTTTCGATTGCAGCGTGAAGACACATGATGATTTCAATCACAATGATGGAGTTCAACTTACAAAGTTGGGGTTAGAGTGTATAAATTCGGAGGGGTTTAAATGTCCTACAATGAAGCAAGTTGTGAAGTGTCTTCTCAACTCGTGTCATACGCACTCATAATCAGGAACTTCGAATCAAGGAGAAGCAACACACAAAAGAAGCATTAGTGGTGATTTTAGGTGACATCTTAGGTCCCGATTAGTGGGGCTTTAGTTTCAGACTTTTTATTAATTAGTTGTAAACTAAATACTCTTCCGAGCCATACAAGGTTATTAATATGTGTTGCTCATTATGTTGCTCATTAGCCATACATAATGATACGGGTAGCTAACTGTCATATTAAGTTACAATACAGAATTTTGACTATTCGAACATGTTTAGGTTAGAATGATTTTGTTAACAAACAGTTAGACTAAGATTTAAAAAATTAGTGAGTGTATGAACATGTTTAATTTTGAAAATTACATATTTGTTCTCAGATGATCAAATGATTCAAATGTGCATGCTTCTGCTTTGCAATAGCTTTATGGTTAAAACCAATATTATCTTTATGTAATGACACGTTTTTTGTGTTTGTTACTATTGGAAATGAATCTTATCATATTATTATGGTTATTGTAGTCATCTTGGTTGCTTTATCCCCCCATACAATCCAAGATACAAATATTTTCATCATTAACTTTGTTTATCAATTTCTAACAAATTATGTATACAAAATAGTTTAATCAAATTACTCATGCATTCACTCATCTTAACCCGATGAAGTAATATGCCTACAATGTTCTTGGGCATTTACACGAACGCGCATCGCGCGTTGCCAAACTAGTGTTATCAAATAAGTTCTAAATATATAAAAATCGGAACAAATTGTTAACGCTTTGTAAAACAAAATGGTGTGACATTTTCCTTGTGCTATAATGAGTCGCAGCAATATGATATTGATTAATGTAAGACATAAATGAAGTTTGCCTTTCTGTTGCACCGCTATTAATAATCCAAGTAGATTTAAAATACGAAAGAAATATGCTATTAATCGGAGTATTTCCTTAAACACGTAAATAGTAGTCTTAAATGGGGCAGAGAATAGTGCTTTAATGTTTATCAAATATTTCTCTTCGTAAAATAGCAAGAGAGAATAGCGTCACGTCCCCATTCTATTTCAATTCCAAAGTATAGAATTGAGAACAAAAATTCTATTGTACCCACCCCTGAAAGAGGGCAAGACTTTCTGTCCAAATATCTGTGTACACAGATAGTGTACAGATTGAGTACAAATTGGGATACCCCATGAAAGACTCAATTGGGAAACAATGAAGAACTCCACGCAGCTATGATTGTTTAGAAAAATGGGCTGGCAAGCTAGTGGAAGTAGTTTGAGTATGATTTGATGCTATCTTGGCGCAATAAGTGCCTCGTGAGTCGTCACGGCTTAAACGGGTAGTGTAAGAGTGAACTTCTTGTTAGGAAATAGCGATATAATCCATATTTGTTCAATCAACAATTAGTGTTGGGAACTTATCAGATTGTAAGGAAATAGCGATATAATCCATATCGGTATCACATATCACATGACATTAATAGAGCAAGTGCACCCGTAATTGTTGTGTGACATTTAGTTCATCTCATAGTGTACAAAGTTTAGTGAAGTACGAGGGAAAAAAACTAAGTTTGTGATTAACTTTTTCAGTTGAAACAATTTGAGAGAATTGAACTGAGAATATGACAATACTATTGGTTGATATCGTTACCATCATCATGAGTCGAAGAATAAAAATGATTCTTGGGTATGATTTCCGGTGTAACAAACGAAAGCATTACGATAAGTCGTATTTTTTTTTAAACCAAATCATCAATCCAAAACCATGATTTCATAGGCACTAATTAAATACTCGGTAATTGATATAACTAAAAGCATAAAAATCTCTATTTTATCATGGCATTATTTTAAGTACTCCGTATCAACGATCTAGCTACTTCGTTAAGATACAATACGTATAGTACCTTATTTGAAGGTAACTAATTAAATTTGTCATTGATGAGAAAAAAATTGAAATTACAAGTTATCATCTATAAACATATATTATAGGATAAATTGATAGTAATAATCCCAACTATTGGCGGTCCGCTTATAATAATCTCAACTATCGATTATTTCAGAATAATCCCAACTTTAGGAACCTTCCGCCAATAATAGTCCCTATAAATAAATTCTTGTGGTTTCTGAAGTGGATGAAGAGAGATATAGCAAGTAATCCCTATAAATAATCTCAACTTTTAATTTTTACACTTAATTTCTATTTAAAATCCACTTTTTAGGAGGTAATATCTGGTCATGGACCATTATTGGCGGACGGTCCATATAGTTGGGATTATACAAAAATAATCAATAGTTGAGATTATTATCAGCGGACCGGCAATATTTGGGATTATTATATTAAAATTTTCTTATATTATATGTTCATATGATATATATAAAGAGAGCTTCTTAATCATCATATGTCACATATGTATGTGTTCTACACATAAAAGTATAAAACTAAGATCCAAATAAACCTCTTAGGTTGTAGAAGAAACAAACGTGACAGAAATAGCATTTCAATTTAGTTTTGGAGAGATCCAAAAGGCAAAGTGCATACAACACACATACACACGAGGGACGATTATTATGTTATAATCCCTTAATTAGTTGGTTATAGATACTGATGGCAACGGGGCGGATCGGGGACGGGTACACATAAAACCGAAACAGTCCCGTTGGATAAATGTTTGCCCCAAAACCGCCCCATTACCCGTTCGGGTAATTTTTATTTGAACCCTACCTGCCCCAACGGGGAATCGGTTTATCCACGGGTAACCGTTTCCCCAAATGATGCCAAATAACCATTTTTTTGGAAAACAAATAACCAATTTCTAATCTTACTTGTTATTTATATATTCAAAGCACCCTACAACATACAAAAGTAAATATTTAAGCAATCAAGCAGACTGACCTAAATCCGTTAGTATGACATGCACCTAATATCTCTTGTAACATAATAAAAAGGTAGTAACTATCCCAGAATCCAAATTCCAAAAACAGGTTTAGGCCTATATTTAGTTTTAGGCCTAAAAAGTAGTATACTTTTTAGCATTATTTATATGATATATACCGAGGAAGAAATTAGAAACTCTAAATTCAATAGAAGGATTTGTCGCAAATCAGAGTTGGTCACCACTGACAATTGCCTGCCAACAGAAAATTTGAACACGCAACTAAACATCTACAAGAAATCTCAAAAGAATAAAAAACGTCATAGCATAAGGACCAGATCACAGTCCAGAGATTTTCCTTGGGCCTAGTTATTTTCTTTTGTTTTCCTTGTATGTTTCAGTTTTTTTTATTTAGTTATCTTTTTGTACTTTAATTTCGTAATTTTATGAATAAAATCGTTTGCTTTAAAAAAAATACTATTTAGTATACACAATTTAGCATATATACTTATTATTCTTATATATAAAAAGTCATAATTCATTAATAATGTTACGGATCGGGTAACATGCGGGTACTCGCACCATTAGTGAACGGGGCGGATTCGGGGCGGATAACGGGGCGGATTAGTGTAGAACCATAACCGCACCATTAACCATTTAAAAAATTCGGGTATTCCCCGCCCTATACCCATTCCCCAGTCAAATCGGTTTTCCCCAGTTTGACAAAATCGATTCGATACGGGTATCCAACGGGTTGGCCGAAATTGTCATATCTGGTTATAGAGTTCACATTTGGTATAATAAAGATCCATGATTGAATCATGTCAACACGCATCAGTGTGGGGTTATCTTCGGAGTGGGGGGTATTTCGTGGATGCGTGGCAAGTGTGGGGCTATCTTTAAAGTGGAGGGAAACTTGTTTGCACCAGTTAAGGCTGATTGCAACCGTAGGAGTGAAAAAGCCTTATTTGAGCTATTCATCCTCAATGGTGCTGCAACCCAAAGAAAAAAGGTATAGATGCGTGCGATTGTGAGTACTGGGCACTCCTTGAGTGAATAGCCAAAACCCTTAAATGATAAAGCAATTCGGACAGTAGCTTGGCCCACTCTTGTCAGCAACACATTTGATCATCAGCAGAGCTCTATGCGGCTAGCTATTGGTGCGTGCTGCCATTAGCTAGGCGTGCGACTAGGTTGCGGAAAGGGTAATTGCCGCTCTATTTAAAGAAGAAAAAATTAGAAGTTCTGGTTGCCGAAACGGGTCTTTTGGTAATATAGGAAATAATTAATACTGTATAATATAATAATAGTATAATTGTTATTGGTAATTCGAATTTAGTTTAAAATAAACTTTAGTATGCATTTTTTAGTAATAAAAAAATTGATTTTTTTTACATCAGAATGTTCAACTTTTTAAATAATAATTACTTGTCAAATAAGTTTTGTCAAGTAAATAATGTGTAATAATAAAAGTAAGGAATTATGCATTTAATTAAAAAAAACGTGTTAGGTTAATATATTGACGATGCTGGGTTGCAGGGAAAAATTGTATTGACTGAACGAATACGTATAAACTAGTGGGGAATTAGATTTATTGACGGAGAGGGTTGCGGTTAGCCTAATAGTCTAGCTTTTACAAAAATGTTAAAGGTGTCCCAATTTGTACCCTAATTTGTACTCCAATTTGTATCTCCATCCTATTTTTGTGGCTCACAAAAGCAGTTCATTAAAGTGGAACAATTCATTTATTGAAGTGGATTTTGTGAGCCACAAATATAGGCTCGGGTACAAATTGAGATACAAAATGGGGTAGCAATAACAGGGTGATAGCTTTTGAGCCAAACGTCACATAGTCATCATGTTTTAATCCCACATACTCTCTCGCACATGAGTGTGACGTGTGAAGAAGTTGGGGATGAATAAATCCACCTTTTTTATAAGCATTCTAGTTATAATGACCCTTTTGTATCACCAGAATATGTTTAAAAATAAAAAAGTGAATCTTCACATTTTCAATTTTACCATCAATGAAAAATATTTTTAAGGTGGTTTTTGTTATTGTTTTTTGAACAATAGCAAAAGTGGGCTATAATTTAGGATGCGTACAAATGATAGACAGCGTACAAATATGTAGAGCCCGTTTGGCGACCACTTTTCTCGTCTAGTCAGGCATATCAGCCAGCTTTTTCATCAAATACGTAATTTTTTATTTTATTTATTAATAAAAAATATTTTAAATATAATTTTTTCATGAATCAGCAGAATCAGCCAATACAACCAATTTTAATGTTACCAAACGGGCTCGTAATCGAAGATGGAAAATCGAAGGCGTTAGGAAACTCTAATCCAGGCATGCTTATTGCTCTTA